TATATGCATTCGTCGGCGACTATCCGGAAGGGTGCCGGGCCACAACAACGATGCAGCAGGCTTCGCACAGACCGTGCTCGAGCTGCTACATCAAGAGGGCGCACCTCCATGACCTGTCCAACGAGTACATAGTGCGCACAGTGAAGAGAGAGCGGCACGCGGTGGCGATGATACTGAGCGCAAAGACGGTGGACGAAGCTGCAGCGGTCCAGGCCAGGTGGTCTTCGCATCCGATCACGGTGCGCGCGATGTGTTCATGTGTGGCAAGTCACATGGTTGTTGAGGCATCTTGTAGGCACGTGATTGTTATGTAGGCACATGATCCTTGAGGCATCTTGTAGGCACATGATCCTTGAGGCATCTTTTGGGCACATGATTGTTCAGGCATCTTGTAGGCACATGATCCTTGAGGCATCTTTTGGGCACATGATTGTTCAGGCATCTTGTAGGCACATGATCCTTGAGGCGTATTGTTGACCGTTACGACCAGTCTGACATCGCCCTCGAATGTGCATAGCGTTCTGGAGCGCTGGAACTTCTCTGAGATGAAGTGGGGTAACGTTTTCCTGGCTGTTGTTGGCAACATATTGCATGTGCTGGATTCTCGGGTGCTGGTGCATATGGCTACCTGTTTCATGGAGGGGAAGACGAAGGCCGAGATACGAGGGTTTGATCAATGAGTACTCGGATCTACCGTGCATTGTTTTGTATGCGGTACTACGCCCGTGGCGGATCTCACCACGGAAACTTTTGCATTGCGTTGCCTATGGGTGCTTGGTGCCTGGAACAGCCGCAAGTTTGGAGTGAAGGGCGACACAAGGAGTGTCCTGGTGTGCATCCCGGATGGCTCCACCTTTTTCTGCAGCGGGGCGAATTACGCAGCTTTCGAGTATCGTGGCATGATGCAAGTTTTCCCAATTATCATTTCGGACCTGTGTGTGGGGCGCTCTGCGGAGGAACGGGACCAGAGGGACAAAGAGGTTCGTGCCTTCCGCTACTATGCGGTCTTCTACAAGTCCCTGCTGGCCATGACCAAGCACACGGGGCTGACCCTCGCTATCGCAAGGCAACATGGAATCTCGTGAGTATAATTGCAGGACGACGTATTTGTACTATTACTGGCGTTGTTCCCCAAATATGCTGCTAGTAGAATGCGCTCATTACGATGTGTCAACACGTTCGTGTAGGCTGGTTGCTGCACTGAAGGCGGCTTTCCCGAAGTAGAAGTCGAAGTGGAACTTTGTGAAGCTCCGCGAAGTAGTGCACCTCATTGATGGCATATCCATGAGGGGTTTGCCGCATGAGTATTCGACGAAGCTGTGGGAGCATACCCACAAGGGCACAGTGAAAGGCCCCGTGCGTGGAAGCAACTGGAAAGACATACCAAGGAGGATTGTGGAGGAGGAGACACAGCGCGAGATCACAAGGGAGATTGCGGCATTGTCGGGTGGTGGGAGAACATACTACACCGCATTGCGAGAGGTACATCACCCGTCGCTTTCTTAGTGTAGGTGGCGTTTGTAAAAGACACACAGGTGTGCGTGCTGTCTAAAACTAATCACGCCACCATTTCCTCCCATCCGTGCTCACAATCCACCACACAGGCTGTGCGCAACATGAAGCCCGCGCTGACCCGCACCAGCAAGGCCATGTGTCTCATGACGGATGACGATCCAATGCGCACGCTGTACAGGGAGACGGTGGGGAGCGAGTTCGACAACATGGCGACACTAATGGCCGCGGAAGGCATGCAGACTGCACGTGTGTTGATGAGATACCGTGTTTTGCTGTTAACTTGGGCGGGTGGATCTAGTTGTAAATCAGGTTAGTGCGCTGTGAATGGGAGACGCATGTGGAAAGGTATCGCGATACAATGTAACGATCCTCGTGAAAACCCACCCATGCACAGCAGGTGCACACAGCAGTGGCCATCCCTAGCACGAAAGGGGGGTACTTGGTGCCGAAGGCGATGTTCGTGAAAGCAAGCCCGAAGGAGAACTGGTTCACCGATATTGCAATCCCGGGAGAGAGGGAGGAGGAGGAGAAGTGGTGGTATGCGCGGTGCCTCTGTATTTTCAGGGCGGTGAATGGCAGCGGGGGGGAGGGTGCATACGTTTTCGTGAAGTATTACGAGGAGGAGGGGGTGTGTCCACAGACTTGCCCCCAACTGGTGCCGGGGCGGAGGGAGGCCACGCACGGGATAATTGAAGTTGCATCGATCGAGCGTATTGTCCATGTGTGCAAGTCGTTCACAAATCCTAGAGAGCTGCTACTCAATAGGTTTGCTCTGATCGATTGATGGATTTTGGAGCTCTGCCTCGTGCGCCTCGACTTCATGGTAGTTGTGATTACGACTATACATTAATAGCCCATACTATGAGAAATGCAGTGGGATATGGCCTGGATCATGTTTGTCCATGATTAACTAAGGGCATAGTTGTGACGTCATAGTTGCATAGGCGACAATTGAGATTTGTTGCTGCAATGTCACTTTGGCCATTTGGGGCCAAATGTGCGCGCCGAAGGTTTCCCGAAGCTTTTCCAAAGCTTTTCCGCAGGAAAAGCTACCGTGTCACATTTGTGCTCACTCGAAATTTCGCGATGAACACAAGACATGACACACACAAACTCACCTCACCTTACTCCCGCTTCCAAGCCCACTGCCTTCCTCCACCGTCCCACCACTCTCCGTGCCGTTTTCGGTCGTAGTACCAGTCGCACCTGGCTGCGGACTGCCCCCGCTTCCCGGCTTGGGGCTCCCAGGAAGATTCTTATTGGTGTAGGGAATGTAGTTTCCCAGAATTACATCCGAGCCCGCCATTTTTCCGGTCTTGGAGAAGCTTATAGCGAACCATCCCTTGCTCGCGCCTCCATCAGCAACGGTCCTCGCTTCCACTGCTGCCTTGAGTGTGGAGCCTTTCACTTTGAAATGGAAGAACAACCTGCAATACAAATTGAAGAATGACCAAGGGATTGTGTCGAGGAAGGCAAAAAACGTTATCTCAGGCGCCCTAAAAACAATCGATATTCTTTGAAAATGAAACGGGCACGCAGGTCTGGGCACGTAGTGTCAAGAGGAATGACGACAGGGCAGGTGAGAACTGCAGAGGCGGCGGATGGGGGGAATTCAGACAAGGAAACGGGCAAGGAGGAGAGCGAAAGGAAGGAGCGGAAGGGGAAAATTAAGGCAAACGGTTTGAAACGGGAAACAATGGGTGAGGGACGAGACAATCCGCGTTGCCAACGCAGATTATACTGGAAAGATGATAGCCTCTCAACAGCCTTGGCTCCACACACGCAATCACCCTGCGGCGCTATTTTTGGGTACATGGTTGTGAAATGCTAGCGAGCGATGGGAGGCGCACCCTGCGTAGTCAGCCAACGCGATCATCGCCGTGTAACCCGGCAGGGTCGACTTGACACGCTTCGCTGGCTTCTGCTGCAGCTGTCCCCCCTGCGATCCCGGTCGAAGCCCCATCAAACTTCGTTTCCTTTTCCCCGTCGCGCGCACCCCCTCCTCCTGCGCTAATCTCTCCCCCAAACCCGTTTCCCCCGCACCAACTGTCACCTCCTCCCTACCTTGCGATTCGGACTCGAGACCCATGAGCCCTCTCTGAAGGCTAAACCGACCAATTTTGTTTTGTCCCGCTGGGTCCCTGGCCTCGGCTAGTGGAAAACAACCATGGGCACTGCGGGCAGAGTTAAGATATCCCTGCTCTGCGGGTTTTGATGGGTCAAGCGACGTGGATGATAAGAGCAATACCATGAAAAGAAAGGTGCTTTTTTATAAAAAGGTTGGACGGGTAGGGTTGAAGACTGACTGACGGACGACTTGGACGGAAAGCCATCAGGGCGGTTTCTGACTGAAAAAGTCTGACGTAGAGTCTACGTGCGATACTCGAGAACAGGAGATTGCCGTAGATTCGAAGTGCGGGAACAGAAAGACCTAGGAGATTAGAGATGAATAACGAAGCACCTTCGTCAAGAAGTGGAATGATCTCTGACCCAGGAAACTGAGGGGAGATTTCTCGTACGTATGACAAAAAAAAAAACGGCCGATTGGAATACGCGAGCAGTCTATGTGCTGGCTACGTGCAGGATAAAACGACTTTGTGTTCTGGCTTCGGGCAATCATGGCTGGTTGTGTGGCTTGTGTGTTGTTAAGGAATTGGCGAAGCAGTCGTTGAAAAAAAGAGCCGGCGGAAAAGGGCGGGAGAGGAATGACGCCCAAAAATGCAGTTCCAAAACGGGGTCGAGTCAAATTGCGATTCGCTTATTCCATTCGCGATTCGGTACATCTGCTTTGGACTGCGCTCGCCTGAGTACGCTATGGCAAGGAATGGCAACAATTGGATACAGAGGGGCCATTCAAAAAGAGCTTCAAGGGTTCTGTAGCTTATGTATTTCCCAAGTTAGTAAGAAAATAATGTTTCAAAAGTCATTGCATTTTCTGTAACTACCAACCTTGTCAGCAACTAGCAGAAACGTAGCTATGGCCATGTATATGACAAAAGCTTGCAGTCTAGAAACGTAGCTATGGCTATGTATATGGCAAAAGGTTGCAATATCCAAGATCAGTTGCACGAGTGGTCAGACTTTGCACGCCAGATTTACCACTGCACTGCCCCTGCATGATGTGTAGGCAACAGGCGCACATGGGATACACGGTTTGGAATCAGAAAAGTGAAGCCGGAAGTGTGGCAGTGAAAAAGGAAAGATATTACAAATGCAGTTCACACGATTTTTTTGTCCTGCTTGTGGCGCGTACCTGTGTCTCATATGTCCTCCAAACACCTTGGTTGCGCCAGTTGAGGAGTAGGACCAGATGATCGTGTTGAGCCCAGCATACTTCACTGGCACCGACCCGCCAGGCCCGCTCCTCGTGAACCTGTTAATGGAGGGGAAAGCAAGAAATTCAGACTTTGAAACGGTTCACGGCACAAGGCACGAAGGGATCATGTAACAGTCACAGGAGACGCTGTTGATGAACCAAGGCTCACCTTACAACGGTGCCTCTCTTCGTGGCTGTAACGGAGGCGTTCGCGATCCTAAAGTTGTCTGCCATTGCGTACGTTCCCATGGTGAGGCTCTGCATGTTGAATGCTCCCACCAACGCGCCCTTGTGCTTGCCGCCCTTGCCCACGTTACCGCTGCCAGGGTTGCTACTGTTACCACTGTTACCACCTTTCGTGCTGTTCGTACTCCCGATTCCAGCCTCGCTGCCCTTCTTCCCAGTCCCACCACTCTTGGTGCCGTTGTCAGTCTTAGTACCGGTCGCACTTAAGTAAGCAATGGGCCTTGGTTGTGGACCGCCAATTCCCGGCTTGGAGCCCACGGGCAGCTTCTTATTGGTGGACGGAACGTAATTTCCCAGAACTACATCGGAGCCCGCCATCTTGCCAGTCTTGGAGAAGCCTATAGCAAACCATCCCTTGCTCGCTCCATCTGCAATGGTCCTCGCTTCCACTGCTGCTTTGAGAGTCGAGCCCTTCACGTTGAAATGAAAGTACAGCCTGCGAGGAGGGTCCGCGATCGAAGAATGGGACAGTTGAGGGAGGCAGAAGAGGGAAAAGGGGATAAGGGGGACCGGGATAACTGGAAGGCGGACGAAGTGAGATTCCGCGTCGAAGAGATTTGAAAGACTAGCAAAGAAATCACATGTGAATGTGCTTATGCTCGAGCGCATCATAATGGATAAACAATCTAGCAGGTGCTTATCAGATGAGAACGCACCCTGCGTATTTTTTAGTCGACTCAAAAATCGACTAGCAAAGAAATCACATGTGCATGTGCTTATGCTCCAGCGCATTGTAACGGGAAAAACATTCTAGCAGGTGCTCATCGGATGAGAACGCACCCTGCGTAATCAGTCAGAGCGATCATCGCCGTGTAACCCGGCAGGGTCGACTTGACGCACTTCTCCGGCTTCTGCTGCTGCTGCTGCTGTGCCCCCGGCGACCCGGGTCGAATCCCCAGCAAATCTCGCTCCCTTACCCTCCTTTCCCGCATGTCCTTCTCCTCCGCGAATCTCTCCGCCACTCCCGTTTCCCCCGCGTCAGCAGTCACTTGTTTCCCGTCATGAGATTCGGACCCGCGACTCAGCAAGCCCCTCTGCAGCCCTAGGCGGCCGAAAAGAGTTTCGTCTGGTAAGTCCCTGGCCTCAGCTAGTCGAAAAAAAACACCGGCGCTGCGGGAAGACTGAAGGCTTCCCTGCCTGGCGGGTATTGATGGGATATCTGACGTGGACGATACGAGCAGTACGAGAAGCAAGGCGCTGCTAGATGCGAGGGTGAACGGGCTCAGTTGAAATCTGACTGACGGATGACACGGGAAGAAAGCCATCCAGAAGGTTCTCGACGGAAAGCGTCTTTGTTCGACACGCGTCAGAGACAAGGTGACCGTAGATAAGGAGGAGCAGATGAAGCGACAGAACGAGTTACTATGATCAAAGGAGAAGGTACAGGCGAACAGACAATACCAACGCTTCGTCACTCTCTAATGCGTTGAAGGACCTTTGTCCATAACTCGGAAGGAAGGTGGTTCTACGAGGAAAAGAAGCGATAAATGATCCCTTCTTGTGCTTCCGAATATTCAGATAAGCGATAGATTCGACTACGTCAGCAGTTATGTGCTGGCTATGTGCTTGAGAAGCGACGTCCTTGTCCCAGCAACAACGGCTGGTTGTTCCAGTCTGACTCATGTGAGTGAAGAAGCAATGGGTGGGTGATCGGATGGCTTCTTCAATGGGAAACTGGGTTGGCGGAAAAGGGCGGGCGGGAGAAATGTGCTGATCGAAATTGCAAGTCTGACCGCGAAACGGGCGCGCGATTACACAATCCGCGGTTCGGTGGCTTTTGGTGAACGGCCTTATCAAACAGTGACATCTCCCGGCAGTTACGACTGCCGTGCCGACGCTTTGTATGCATCTAAAAAAAAAAAGCAGGTGACATCTCCCGGCTGCTGGTTAAAAGTCTTGACGGTCGTTTGAATCTGACCAATCTGCGCTCTCCCAAGTCTTTTCCAGTCGGTGAAACCCAGAAAAGACGGCTTTGGCTGTCACCGGCACCACCAGAACTTGTTCTCGTTTGGCGGGACACGTAAAACCTGAACTGGGGGAGTTTGGACCGCCTCAAGGCAGAGGCTCACAGCACACTCGTGATCGCTGTGTTGCAAGCGTTGCTAGTTTATAACGACGTATTTGGCCTTCAGAATTTTATACCGTATGCCATACGGGCGCGGAGTGGAGTGAAACATCTTTGGGTGGCTTAATTTGGGCCTCAATTGCTAGCACAAATTCATTTTTTGCCGACGAATGCTCAATGATTGGTTCTCTTCCTCGGACTTCGCTCGTCCGAACCCGTATCAAAGCCTCCCCACATTTGGCATGTATGCCTATCTTTTTATAGCTCCTGTATATAATTTGCCTGTATGTGTTGTTTATTCTAATAATTCATCTGTAAAACTTCCTAGCACTGGGTTTGGGATCACACACAAAATGTTCAAGGTTTCAGTATATGAGTGGTTTTTCAAGCAATATGTAGAGAAAAAGACATATCAAGTGTACAAGCTTGGTGTCCCCCCTATCAGTGTCCGGAATTCTGCTGACCAATGAAATTGGTGGACATCACAACTGTTTTGGGTTGAAAGAATATGGTTGGCGGTGGACGCTGCCGATCACTCCTCCGGTTGGTTTGGAAGTAATCGCGGTTCGTCGCTTTGAGTGCTCAGGGCTCGAAGCCAAGCACCGCGCAAACGGGCCAACGAATCTCGGTGAGCGCGTTCGCCAAAAAAGTTGGGGCATTTATCTTAGCGGTAACACTCATTGGGGTCAATTGCACGCAAGGTAAGCCACGTGTCCAAATCGTCACTAAAGTATCTTCTGATTGTCTCCATGGTAACCAGCGTGCCAGTTTGGTCAACATTATTTCCAGAATGGTAATGAACAGTGCATTCCGAAATCCCAACTGGTAACTCGTCAGAACATCCGCGATGTACACCGTACGTACCCTGTATGACTCGGCAAAACTGAAAATGAGATGGATATAGGCTTCGCATTGTAACATATTTGTTATAATTTCACGTTTATAACTTGAACATGTGTAGATGATAGTTAAACAATAAATGCTATTATGTTTGTCGAATTGTTGTCTTGACTAGGGATTACGAAATTAAAATGGACGCAGCCCGCATAATAGCACATAAATTCTGTAGACACCGTATTCAGGATCCATTTTAATTTCGTAATCCCTAGTCAAGACAACAATTTGACAAACATAATAGCATTTATTGTTTTACTATCATCTACACGTGTTCAAGTTATAAACGTGAAATTATAACAAATATGTTACAATGCGAAGCCTATATCCATCTCATTTTCAGTTTTGCCGAGTCATACAGGGTACGTACGGTGTACATCGCGGATGTTCTGACGAGTTACCAGTTGGGATTTCGGAATGCACTGTTCATTACCATTCTGGAAATAATGCTGACCAAACTGGCACGTTGGTTACCATGGAGGCAATCGGAAGATACTTTAGTTACGATTTGGACGCGTGGCTTACCTTGCGTGCAATCGACCCCAATGAGTGTTACCGCTAAGATAAATGTCCAAAAAGTTGCGACAGATGGGAGGGAATGTTGCGAAAGGGCAGTATCAATTGAATGAAACAGACCACCGCCAGATCATTCTCCACATGTCAATGAACGATTCGACCGCGGGTGCACGTCGGCGGGAGAGCGGATGCTGCCTTTTGAATGGGTTTTCCGAATCCCATCCTGACATAGCACACCGGCTGCGCGCATTCAGCACGACGTCAGCGTGTCACCGACACGCCATAACCATGCCAACGCGCCTCGGGCACGGCTTTGCGAGGGAACCAAGTTTCATCCGCGTCGAACCAAGCTCCATCCAAGCCGCCCCGCACCCCACCGTTGACACTTACAAGAGTAACAGACCTGAACGAGCATGTACAACTTCACAGCCTTACGGGTCCACCACACACTACTAATATCTACCCTCCTGAGCCTTTTCTCACAAGCACTGCACACCAGTCTCCCAAAAGCCGCCTGGTTCACCGTTCTCCCTGCAACCAGCTCATCCCTCCGAGTGCTGCGGTGTTTCGCGTCTCCGTTCCGCCAGTTCTCTCGCCTCCGCGTCCAACGAGTTCTCCTCTCGCCGCTATGGCCAGACTCCACTCCTCAGTTCACCAGCATGGACTGGCGCGTTTCGCGTCCCTCACCGTCCTCGCATTGATCCTGGTTGGAGGCTTTTCAGATCACGTGCTTGTGTCCGCCGCGCCAGTGGCTTTGGCATGCTCCAAGTCGAAGCTATACTCTGGTTACGCTGTGGTCACTCTAAAAAAAGGGTAAGGTCCAGTCTTTTGAATCGAGTCTAATGTTCTCCGAAACTGGTCGATGTGCGTGGAGACGTCTCCAATTCTGTTTCGTGAAAACTCGAATTAATAATCTAGGAGGTATGTGTATCGATGTGTATCGTTCCGCAACCACGCACGGCTTGCCTACATTGCGGCGTCGCAGCAATGTCACACAGCTTGTGCTGTATCGCGACATGCCTCAGCAATGTCGCACAATTCAATTCATTGCGACATTGCTCGATGCCAGTGACCTCCTCCTGTCGTTGCAACCAAGGTGGCTTTTCAGTAAACTCAAAGTCATTTCTACTGTATCATACGCCGTAAATATGGGTTATGTGGGTAAATATGTGTTACGTGGTTTTGGGCACTGGGGTTAAGTCGACTAGATTTAGTACCTCCTAGCGTTGTTTCACCTCTGATCACCTAACAATTCGACTCACCTTGTCTCTCGTTTCATGAATTCTTACCTCCAGATTCCGTGGCTCGCCTAACCGTTCCCGTCCATCATGGAAAGCAAAGAGACAGTGCAAACTCATTCTGGCATTTGCTGTACCCTCCCTCGAATATGTCGCATGATCAGGCTCTTGCTCCACTTCAAGAACAGCCCAACCGCCGTCGATTTCGCGTTGGAGGCAAAAACCACGAGCAACGCGTACAAGGGCTGGTTGTCCGTCGGATTCTCCGCAGCGGGCAAGATGGCCCGCGCAGATGCTGTGATCGGCAACCTGCAAGGCCCGAAGAAAATTGATGCGTACTTCATGAAGTCCATCGCGAAGGCCGATGTGAAACCAACGAAGGCTTTCGCGATTACGAAGACGAGCGTGGTTACCAACGCCCAGGGGACTATCATGAAGTGAGTACAAGCGGGCTTAAACCGCGGAATCGCTTCAATGTTTTTCTTCCTCCAATCAACATCTTAGCAAGAGACCTTGGTGCGTGTCAGTCCATTTTCCGTTATCCGTCGTCTGTTTCTAAGCACACGCGTTTGTCTTTCCTCGGTCGTTCAAGCAGGTTCACCCGCACTGCCGGTAGTAAGGGTACTGTCCCCGTGAAGTATGGTGCGAAGAACACTCTTCTGTGGGCGTATTCCGCCACTGGCGCGTCCAAGGTCCTGGACAATCACTCTCCGATGAACAGGT